CACTGCCGCCATCTTTGTTGCCATAACAACAGAAGTGTCATGGCAAGGATGGGGGCATCAGTGTTAAAAAAAAATTAGTGGAAAAAAACATCTACTTAAAAATCAACACATTTTAAAAGGAAAAAAACATTAAAAACTAACCAAAAAATCATGCAAATTTAATGAACATTTTATTATTCTTGAAAAACCCTGAAATCTAAAAATTACAACTCTACCTAACCTGAATGCTAAGTCAGTATCCCTAACTCAATCATAATTTAACCCCTAACTTTAGTCATCTAACTTGAGCATAAATCTTCAAACCTACAATCTTTGACCTAACATGAACCCTAAAACTATGTGTTCATGTGCTACAGTTACACACTATTATGAAAATAATAAATTTGATTAAAAATAATATTTAAACTGTTGTTTTTTTTAAATACCGGTATTCAAAATAATGAAAACTCAACTAACAGTTTCACCAATTACACTTTTTATACACTTTATAAATCCAAAAATGTCAGAAAAGTCAAAATTCATTTGACAAATGGCCTCGTTTTGGAATATTATAATTAACCACCTATATGAAGTATTAATTTAAAAATGTCATCAATCAAAAACATTCCATCAGCATATTATTAATAAAAAGAAAAGAATAACAATAACAATCTGAGACTAAACAAAGGGGAGGTCACTTATCAGAATCGCAGAACGTCGAGCAAAACATCAAGCATACATCGTCCAATATTTGTTTTCAGGTTACAGTTGCAGACAAGAATCACAGATCAACCAAGTCCCAACGTGCACGTGGTGCATCCAACAGCATACGCCTACGTCAGCTTGAAATGAGAGAAAACCGGGCTTTTGTTTACAGCTAAACAATATAACATATTTTACTTCTCCTATTTTATCTACGGTACCTTATCCAATGCTAATGGGAGGAGAAATGTAGATGAAAGCATTCTGTGATAAATATCCATTGTTATACCTGTAACAAGGGTGTGCCAGGTTTATTTAAATAATGAATATATTAAAACATCACTTCCAATTCCAAATATAATTTAATTTATTAACTTAAACAAAGATGAGTGACAAAATTATTAATTGAAGTATTTAATCATGTAAATATTTGTTAAATATGCCATTTGAAAGCATATTTTGAAGCACAGTATTTACATACTTTTATTATAAATCAAATCTTCCAATTATTTAATTTATGAAATGCATTTTTTCAAATATATATATTCCTTGTTTTTTTCTAAGACCTCATAAATGAATATTCTAGTGCTAAGGTTTATGCTTTGTAAATTTTTGTGCTGTGATATTTAATAAATATTTTGGTCTTATCGATTTAGCACAGAAATTGCTCTATGTTGCCTTTTAATATGAGACTTCAAAAAATTAATGTTTATTAAGACCAAAATGTTTGACTGGGATCATAATGATAATGAATCAGATTCATTTTAAATTTGTACATGAATTTTCATATCTGAATACTTATGTACCTGTACTTTATACCATACAGAGGCATGCACAAAAAAAATCAAATAAGCTTTTCTTATAATTTTGATTTTCATTTCTATTTGACATACATAGGGTCAACTTTTTTCAAATGACAATGATTTTTTTGTTTACTCATCAATAATCATGGTTGAAAATACAATGTGAAATGCCAATGCATGAGCTTCCATGTAATCACTTTGATTTTGCAATCTGAATATTTTATTCTGTTAGAAATGATTACCATTAAATCTATTTTTTTTTTCTTTATATTTAAGAGAAATAAATATTTACTAGATTCAAATAGCCTAATATTTCATCACAATACATTCAAAAATGAAACATGTCATGTTCCTGGCATAGTTTTAAGTTAAATTCTTAAAGCTCAGATGATTCTACCTGATTCCAAATTTCTTAGCTACCGGGTACCAGAATTTATTGTGGACATCAAATAAAATACATAATTTTAAGTTTTATGGACCTCCAAAACTAATCATTAATAAGATAATTGAAGAATTATTATTGTCAATGAATTAGTATTAGCTTTTCCCTTTAAGGTTGATACAGGTACCAATACCTATAAATACTATAATGAACGACATTGTAATTTTTTTAATTTCTTTAAAATGTGAATATAAAAGACAAAAAAATAAAGTGGACATTTTGGCTAATTGCCTCCTGGATACCTTCTTCAGCTGATCTGATAATACAATATAATACAATAGACAACAGAAAATTTTTAATTAAAAAATAAAAGATATGTTTTTGAAGAGCTCAATAAAGTCAATGTAGCTAGATGTTCAGAACAGCAAGCGCTCTATGTTATTGTTAAAAATGGTATGGTAGTTGAGTTGTCCCACATTATTCTATGGTGATTACTATCACGTTTAAAGAATTTAAGTACCATTATTATTAGTGTAAAATTTTAAACAGCGAAATTTGAATATAAAAATGAAGGGAAATAAAGGATCACCGGTAGGTGAGTAGTGCTGTATTTGATTCACTCCATATGGTGATAAGGTGAAACAAAAATCTGAATTAATTTGCTTTCATTCATCACTCTCGCTGGTGTATTGATGCAAGAAATTAGAGCCATGATGGATACATCTGATGTGCCCTTGTGTTCATCTCTGTTAAGTGGGATGAGTCCAGGGATGGCTTATTTTGTTCAATATCCTGAAGATGTTCACTGAACCTATCAAGCCCTCTTTGATGATAAAGTTCCAAGGTGTTTAGTTTCCATAACATAGTGACAAGTCCTACATTGGCTTCTTGAACTGGTTTATACCCAAGGTGAAAGGGGTAAGCTCACAATCCGATCGACTGAACCAGAAGGTCAAATAAACTTTTTTATTTGTCTGCTTAAGAAGGCATCCAGCTGAAACTTCCACTTAATTGTCTTATATTTTCAAGCCGAAACATATCTTTTTCCACTATTTATTTACTTAACATGGCTTGAACGCAGTCCCTCATATAATATCCTTTAAAATATGGTGGTGTTTTTCTGGTTTTTTTTTAATTATGTTAAGGCTATTAGTATTACCAAACAAGGTGGTTTTTGTATAGTTTAATTTTCTATTATCTAGTCAAATTAGAGTTAAAATTGTATTTTTAACTGGAAGAATCTTCTTTGTACCAGTGCTGAGCCAAACTTGAAGAAATGCCTTTTGATTAAGTATGATAAATTACATACCGGTACTAAAACTCTTTGCCAAAAATTATGAGCCACAAAAGTTGTTTTTACACATTATTTGCTTTGGAGGACCAGAAAAATGTCACCTTTCTTTATTACATGGTTTCATGGCTGTTTCATAATCAATTTAAAGGATTTCATTTTCATGGTAAATCTTAATCAAAGGAATCTCAGAATTAAAGATAATTTTAAAACCACTCTGTTATTATTTTGTAAACGTATGTACTGGCGCAACATCACAATTGTTATTTTTAGTTTACTAAAAGATTTAAAAAAGCATAATATTGCAATTATTAATCCTCATTTTTAATACCAGTATGGGCTACGTTCAAATTTTTGTTAAACAGAGTAGCTTGCCTGTGGTTGCCGCCTACTTTTACCAAGTTGGTTTGGTTCCAAAATTATGTTTGTTGTTTCTAAACTCGATTCCAGTAAGTTAAGTAGGTTTAATTAAAACAGACTCAATAATATAGTTTTTAAAATAAAATTAATACTTTCACTCTGAAAATTTCTTTCCTCTCAATTCACAGTTACGTCATTCCGATCCATGTTTACTTAGCCAAACCATGACAACCACAAATGATATGAAAGAGGAAATGATATTCACCAGCCCATTATACTCTTTTCTCTCTGAAAATAAATATTTATTTTCCTTCACGTATCCCATATAATATAAATCTTTTTTTTTTTTCTATAAATTTAGCTAGAAAATAAGAAATGAAATCCTCATTTAAGTTAGATGTAAAAACAAATTCAAATAATAATACCAATACCTGTTGAGGTGTAAATATTTGTCTCTTTTATTTATTTTAGTTTATATTTGTTTTCATATATATATATATATTGTGTGACTGGGTATGAGTAAGGTCCACTGATGTAGGCATGGTTTCATCAAAAGAGCCTGTGAGTATTGAGAACAACTGCTTTGTCTTATATCTATAATCTAATATTATTTTTAAACCCCGACAATGTACATAAGTTAAATATAGTAATAGTATTAGTATTCATAAGTACAGTTAATATTGCTGACTCAGACAGTTTGTGGGGATTTTGTTTAAAAAATGTGTTAAAGAATGCAGTTATAGTTGCATTATAAAACTTCAATGTAAAATTGCTTGTTTCGAATATTATTATTTTTAAAAAAACACTCTAGATTTCCAACCACTGAGGCTATCTGGGTTTTTTTTAAATATCATTAGTTAGAATTTCCCTAATAATATATGTGTATGAAACTGTTCTTTGAAGCACAGAGTGGATTTGATCTTTCCTTTGATCTTTGAAAGAAAGTTTTACTATCACTATCACTACCCCCAGAGGTTTAATTTAAGTTTAAGTTGGTTAGTCTATTTTAAATTTTGAACTCAAAAGGATATAGAGGTTAAAGTGTAATTATAATGTTTATGCAAGTAACAGTAACTAATAATTTACCATTTTACTTAAAAATCATTAAGCAGCTGATTTGTATTGCTATAAAGACAACCTACATTTGTGTTCATTTAGAAAAGGGGAAAAAGAACAAAGCAGCTTTTACATACTGACATTAAAGCATAAAAAGAACAAGAAATCTTTTTGTATGGGGTCATTGTATCATCTAGTACAATGTGTATGTACTTATTTAGAGATATATTGAATTCTGATCCTTAAAATAAAGCAATTGGCTATAAGAGTTGTGGCTGTTCATATTTTCAATGTATTGAAAAACATGTGTACTGGTAGGAGTGTAGTAGTGATTTTTGTAGTGATTAAAACTGACCTTATGTTTAGATGAACTGAATACACTTCAGCTTAAAGCATTACATTACATAAAAACTGTATGAAAAAAAGCTACTTTAAAATTATTATAACACATACAGCATCACATTTGAAATTATAATATTATACAAATAAATAATAAATTTGATGACTTTGTAATTAGTAATAAAACAACTGAGAAAACTTGTAAATCTATAGTCACATTATAATTTTATTAAAATGTTCATATTTGAACTTTGAAGTGATCTAATGATAGAGATGATAAAATGTTTTACAATATAAATAATGATTTGATGATTTAAATTTTAACAAAACATAATTTGTTCATACATAATGTATTAAAGAAATGAGATTCAATCTTAACACAATGGATATAGCTGCAATGGAGTTTTCAATTCAAAACAGTTATGTGATCTTAAATATCTCCCAAATGATGTATTCAGAAAATATCATTCATTTGACAACTGGACTCAGTTAAATTCTCTGACTCAGGATATAGCAATAACTTCTTTTTGTGGAGTTTGTGCATTTAATCATTATATTACAAACATTTACAGTTTACAGGTAGTTAACTTTATTTTAAGAAAGTTAATTAGTCAACTAATGTAAGAATAAAAGAATTGTGAATTTTTTTTTTAAATCTTAAATAAAAAATATATAAGAAATATTTTCCAATTCATAATCACGGAAAACTTTTTTGAATTTCCTGTTGATCAGAATACCTTAATCTCTAATACAATAAAATTGCTTAAATTAAATTTGAAAACAATTAGTTCTTTTACCTTTCAAGAAAATCCCATGATGCAAGCACTGTTCCTTCTCTCACAATTATTTAATGCCCAAATAAACATTTACAAAGCCAAACTCATCAGATTCCTGCTTTTTCAATAGATTATATACACCAGTATTTTGATACATGGCATTTTTTTTAGAACAGAGAACTGCACAAATTGCTACTTTTTTATAATAACATTTACAAAACATCTTTGATGGTTAAGTAAAAAAAAAAAAAAATGTAATTTAATTCATTTCAAGGGAGAACAAATAAAAATGCAGAAAAATCTTGCATCATGCATGCACCATGTGAATTAATTTTTGGACACACATTTCTTTATAATTTTAATTCATCATTGTATCTAATTAATCTAAATTTATTCTTTTTGTTTTATTTTTTTTTTTAAATATCCTTAATCTCCTGAATAAATTATGGTTTTAATTTGACCAATGGGATATTTTTAGTATTAAGACACCTATCACATGCCCATTCTGCATAAATCTCAGCCTTAAGCATAGAAAATGCATCAGCAGTCAGCCCTGTACAAATTCTATGAAACCAGAAATTGCATCCACTTTCACACAAAACAGCCTGATCATTTTCATGTACTTCTTTATGACATACACCACAAGGATAAATAGGTGGTGCACTTGGATTCGAGGGGTTAAATACCATGGGTTGATTAGGAGGATATACTTTGCCATGGGATGGTGGACCCTGACCAGGAGGTAAAGAGCCTCCTTGGGAAGGAGGCATCTGTTGAGGTTTTCCTTGCATGTTGTTCGTAGGCATTGGATCATCAAATGGATTCTGAGCTACAATCATAGAAGCATTCGACACTGGGGGTGGGGAAGGCCCAGGCAAAAGTTCTGCAAGTGTATTTTTTTGCTGAATGAAAAAAATTAAAGTATTTTTAAAAGGCAATTCAATATTTTTTAAATTAAAAATGAACTATAGAAATACTTAAATAGGGATAAGACACTGGGTTATCTCTTATTTTGGCATACTAATTTTGAATCCAAATGGAAGAGCATTTTTTGTTTTACTTTATCGATTACTTTAAAAAAAATAAATAATGAACTTAACAGCATTTTATTATTTTAATTAAATCCTTTTCAAAGGGGTTTTATACCGTAAGTAAAAGTAATCTCTTAAAAGACTATCAAACAGATTGTACAAAATTTTAAAAGTACACGCCCATGCCCATGCATCTTTTGCTATTCACTGTGCCATTTTGGACATGGTATTGTAAAAAAAGCCTAAGGCCTATGGAGAACTCAGAAATTAAAAATCCCTTTAAATTTTGAAAGCCTAGAAAATTATAAGATAAACTGTTTGGAAAACAATACTTGTTCAATATCAACAATTAAAATTGAAGTGTTTATTTTAGTAAAGTTCCATCTGATAATTAGGGAGATTTTTTAATTAAAATGAAAAAACAATTAAAATGAACACTCCCCAATGCCTGGGGCTAAAATAAGAGATTACCATAGTTATAAAAATAGACCTACTGAGCCAACTGTTCAATTTTTTATAGTAATAGTACACAGTAATTTCAGACAAGTACCCAGTTGTTATAGACTACAGTACTGTAGACAGTACTACTTCTTAAGCAGTAGTTGAGTAGTTGTAATAAATATTTATTAGTAAAAGTATTAGTACAAGTAAAGTTTAAAATTAAAAGTAATAAAAGTTAAATCTATTATTATTATTTATTTTTATTAATTATTATTATAATTCATGCCATGCATGCCAAATGATTTTAAATTCCTAATTGAAATAAGGCTAAAATAAAATAATTTTATTAATAATGATAATGCCATTTGTTTTTTATTTTGGGCTGATTCTTAGTTTTCACCCCGTGACGTCATTTGCGTGTTTTTTATAGTTGCAGTGAATTAGGGTTCAGGTTAGGCATAGGGATCGATTTAGGGTTCAGGTTAGGCATAGAGATAGATTTAGGGTTCAGGTTAGGCATAGGGATCGATTTAGGGTTCAGGTTAGGCATAGGGATTGATTTAGGGATACATTAGTGACAAAATTAACTGGTTGTGTCAACCAAGATGGCAGCCATCGCGGGACGTTTTCTAATAATTTACCTTATTTTTACTCGTAATCATGAATTATTGAAATTATTTATTAATAAATTCAAAGTGGGGAGCTACCAATAGACCAGGGGTTCTCAACCTGTGGGTCGTGACCCCTTTGGGGGTAGAACGATCCTGTCAGAGGGGTCGTCATAGATATAGATCATAGGAAAACACATTTACTCTACAGTCTACAGTGATGAAGCAGCAAAGACAAATATAATAATTTTGTGGTTAGGGGTCGCCACAACATGAGAAACTGTAGTTAAAGGGTCCCGCGGCATTAGGAAGGTTGAGAACCACTGTATTAGACTATATAATTAAATTACTATTTAGTCTATCTACTTAGTCTACTATCTATATATTAGTAAATAATTAGTAGTAGGTCACTCATATTAAATATTTCTAGTACTGATCTGATTCTGATAAGTATGGGGCTGTGAACTGTGTGTAGTGTAGTGTACCTGACTTGAGGACGACTTCTTGTCATCCATGTGTGGAATTCTCATAATAAAACAAGAAAGTATAATCTACTTATTACGTATTGAAAATCAAATATTTTGACAGGCAGAATTTCAATGTTATTTTGTTTATTACAAGATGATTTTTATCAATGACAATGTCAATATATTGTAATTGTTTATCGGCTAAATGCCACTTCCGGTCCAAAAAAGCTATGACAGTTACGGTGTAAAAGTATAAATTGAAACCAATATTAAAATTAGCAATTTAGACAAATAAATAATTGTAACTTCTTAGAAATTGCGAAGGTAATATAACGCAAGATATAACGTAATATAAAAGAAGAGTCGCCATTTATCAAAGAAGAACTAACCCATGAGAAAGACTTATGAAGTTAAATAAATACAAAGTTGTAAGGGTGTATCTAGGGTTAGTGCCCCCTGTGGCGGGACAAGATCCCCAACCACAACTAAAACCTCTACAGCTTGCAAAAAATGCCACCCTTTAATATAGCCGTTCTCAACCAGTGGGTTGCGACACTTTTGGGGGTCGCAAGACCCTTTCCCAGGGGTCGCCAAAGACCATCTGAAAATACACGTATACTTACAGTTATGAAGTAGCAACGAAAATAATTGTGTGGCTGGGGGTCACCACGACTTGAGGAACTGTATTAAAGGGTCGCGGCATTAGGAAGGTTGAGAACCACTGCCTTAATACATAGGAAAAGTTAAAAATGAGGCGTACCGCCCCTGATTAATGTCAATTGCCAATTGAAGAAAATGGGGATCAATAATGATATATAATAAAAGCATTGGCGTAGCTAGGGGGGTGCAGACCGCACCGGGTGTCACCCTCTCAGGGGGTGACACCCAATGAAAAACTTGCATATTTACAGAGCACACACTGCTCGGTCCAACTAATTTTCATAAAAGGATAACCAATCACACAGAAATTTGCCATACACGTAACCAATCCTAATGCGTGCTTTATTAAAAATTAGGTGTTGATGCGTCAGAAATGAGGTGACCCTATAATTAGGTCAGAAAAACGCCGTTTGAAAATGACTTTTACCCATTGATGGGGTTAACCGGTGACGTAGCTAGGGGGTGCGGACTACCATGGGTGACACCATCCCAGGAGGTGACACCCAATAGAAAAATTGCATATTTTACAGAGCACTCACTGCTCGGTCTAACGGAATTTCATAACAGGATAACCGATCAACACGTGTAACTAATCCCTATGATGCGTCAGAAACACCTTTTTGACCATTATTCAACGCCGATTGAAGTGTTCAGTAATTTCCATGAATGACAGGAAGCAATATTTATCTTAATTCTGAGAAATAAAGCTTTCCACTGAAACCAAATATGATTTGGACAGACGATTCTAAGTTAATGAATCGAATCGGTAAAAATTAATAACATTAAAAATGAGTTTTTACCCATTTTTAGGGTCAACAAAATAATATTTTACAAAACTTTCTAATAACTTTTAATAATTAATTTAAATTAATTTATTTTTTTTTTATGTTTTTGAAACCAAATCAATCGAAACCCAGAAATACTCAAAAATAAATATTTTCGCCGATTCGTCACTAGCACCACCTCTTAACATTAAAGCACTATTTTTATACAGCACAAGGTCTTTTACATGTTGTCTGTGATTTCACGTTTATCTGCTACCTTTACCTTTGGGATGATCTACTTGAAGAAGTTAAACTTACATAGAAGTATCTGCAGACTAAAGTCTTAAATCTGGACAAATTGGTGACCAACCTAGAGGCCTTAAGATTGTTTCTGCAAGAGAGGCGCTTTCACTATGTGGAACATGCTATTTAAATGTACTTTTAAAATCAGACCAATAGGAAAGTGACACTCAAAATAAACAAGCTCATTGAATAGGTCACATCTTTCAATAAATGAGTATTAAGAATTAAATCTACTGACCTGCTAACTTCTAGACCGGCACGAACCAATAAATAAATATAATACTAATTGACATTCATAAAAGTATTACCGGTATTTGTTACATTAAGCCCATAAAATAGAGTAGGCTATTTCCCTATCTGTCTCTCTCTCTCTCTCTCTCTCTATTATGTATATATATACAGAGAGAGAGAGAGAGAGAGAGAGAGAGAGAGAGAGAGAGAGAGAGAGAGAGTTATGTGTCAGAAACAAAATGTAAATCTAAATTATTTGTATGTATTTCTTTAATGTCTTCCTTTTTTAAAAACAATTTCAAAAAAATAAAATGTTAGTATTAAATGCATATTGAAACTTATAAAGTGCGTTACTTGAATACACGTTATTTCAAGTAATTTTGGTAGATGGGAAGTTCACACAACAGCGATTGTTTGGTGGACAATTATAGCTAGTGTTCATATAAAACAATAATTGCAGCATTTCGGCCCCACCCATTTTTTATACTCTCCTATGTTTAATAAACACAGATGAGTGGGTGTCACCCGGTGCGGTAAATTCATTGGGTCACTTCCTTTTTTAGAACACCCACCTGCACCGTCTAATTCTTAACCAGATATACAGAATTACAAATAGTATTTTATAGGGGTCGTAATCCGGGATATCGACTTTCGAAAGTACCGGAATACCGAACCATAATTGATGCTCGAAAAAACTAGGATTGGATTTATGAAAACCGGGATTTTCGATAATCCCGGGATTTTCGATAATCCCGGGATTGCATTTTCAATTTTTTTTTAAATCATTTTTCTTAGTTTCCACGTCGTAGTTTAAGCAAGACATCTAAATAATTTATGAGATTTGCAAATCCCTCACACCACGTGTCTCGAGTTCAAAGAGAGCCGACCGACGAGCTAGATCTGTGTACTCTTATTGGTCAAGAATCATGACGTTGTGATTAGTTTTGTTTTTACATCGTGCGTGTGTAGTGTGTAAGTGGAGATGAGTCACGACGTGAAGGTATAGGATTGGTAAGTAAATGTTTTCATATTATTAACAAGTGATTGGTCCAGTCGAATAAAGATCGAATTTTGACTTCCATTAAGAGTTTGTAATGGAAATAATAACACGTTGCGCTCAAATCACGGGGTCAACTTTTAATAACAAAAATATTTGATTGCTTGATTTCTTTTAATTATGCCAAAAAACCTACATACCGTATTTAAAAAATATGAAGTAAATCCGTATTTTGGTAATGAAATTAAACCTTAAGTTTAAGACGAAGAAAAATTTTGTTACTTCTATTTTGTGAAAACAATATTAATAATTTACATTAACCTCATAATTGATTTTCGAGCTGTTTTTTCTCAGGCTGAATTTCCTAGTTTGTCTGTACCGCAACTAGCCAAAATTTAAAAGACTGAATGTCCCAGTTTGTCTGTACCGTTACACCGTAATTCTCCAGACATTTACCTGAAAATTTTAACATTTAAAAAAAAAATGGTTTTACACGTCAAACCAAACGATTGAAATCATATATTTTTTAAATGATTTATTTTCCCTTCAGGTTGATAGAAAGAAATGGGGGACCCTGAAAAAAATAAACCTAAATTTGAAAAGCATGTGAAACTGTCGGAAACAAAGACATCAGTTTGGCATTATTTCTTGACAGCTACGGTCAATCTCTCAGCCATATGCATTAGATGTAACAAGCTACTTAAAACATTGGGAGTACAACTTCATGCCTTCACTCTCATTTAAAGTCTGCACATTCCAGTGATTACTTGGACGTATTTCTAAGGCCAGATTGCGACCAGATGCGAAAACATGTCGTGGATATTCAAAATCTTGATCAGACAGCGGATTCCTCGTTGAAAATACCTATGAACAATGGCATTGAACATCTTGGGTCTGAGCATGACGAACTTGAAGATACACTGCTGTTTAAGAGACAATAAGAAATTGAATTACAAAAGAAACTTCAGGCTCAAGATAATACTTCCAGACCAACGGATGGAGACATTGATACATTGGTAAAAATAGAAATGGCTTTATTTGAGAATGGTGGTTCAAGAGGAAAATATCTAGAAATTGCGTATGATAGCCTAAGGTCTATTCCTCTGACCAGTGTGGAGTCAGAGCGGGTGTTCTCTTCATCAGGTTACTTTTTACGATTTCATTATTTAAATTTGAACAAAGATTAAAACACAACACCAATTATTTTAATATTTGATTAATAAAACTATTTAAATTAAAAAGTTAAGAATATTATTTTTGTTGCTTTGATTAAAGTGTGAAGTTAAACATTTGTTTTATTGTCAAAATCTTGTTAAAAATCAAAATATGATAATTTTTCTGAATTTTTTTATTTCGTTGATAAATCCCCACCTCGAATCTCAAATCTCGGCTAAAGATTCGTTAAATATGGAAAATACCGGGATTCCGTTACCGGTATTCGTAAGCTTCAATATCGAAAATACCGGTTTTGGCAAAAGTGACTGGTATTGTTGCGACCCCTATTATTTTATTTTATTTATTTATTTTGTAAATTAGTTGTGTCTAAAGGCAAATTAAGTCATAAGTAAAAAAAAAAAAAAAAAAAAAAAAAAAAAAAAAAAAAAAAGGATTTAAGGTAACAACGCTTTTAAAAATGCTTCAAAATGACTTTTAATTGAGACACAAATCTTAATAGTTAAAACTTTACTTTCCTGGTCTTCAAACAAAAGAGTCATATCATCAAAGTTAGCATCCTTCACTTATCACTTTTAACCGCGGACCTGGGGCGGGTAAAGTGTCTTAATGCACATAGCTCCAAAACAAATGTATTTAAAATCCGTTTTTTTAATACAAAAAATAAATTATAATTTTTACTTTAAAAAAAATAAAAAATTAATATAGTTTATTAAAATGTATGGCCTATTCTAGTGCGATCTATGCTGGCCCCACTTTTCTACCAGTTATGTTGCTCCTTTATCTACGGCTATGTTGCCCCCCCCCCCCAAATCATAAACCAGCTATAGTGCCCCACCCTTCTAATAGCTATGTTGCCCAATTCTACTTCCAGCTATGTAAGTAACCCCAACTTTTCTACCAGCTTTTCTACCCACAGGGTGCTGAGTGGCCGGGTCAGAAGCTTGTGGACTGGAGTTTAATCCCCGAGAAAATCCCTAGTTAAGCAAAAACATCACCAGTACCCCGGATGGATGAGGCTCGTTAACCTTGGATTGTGGTATGAGATTGACACAATGCGATTCCCGGCAACGTTGCGACGCTACTGGTTCCAAGCTGTA